GGACGACATGCGCGAGCGCCTACAGTAGAGTTGGGCCCACCTCCTCCCCGCGTTCCAATCAGCACCTTGTGGAAAGTTGATGGGAAAGATGCGACGTAGTGTGAAGAAACGAATATTTTGTTTAATTCAATAAGGAGGATTGTCCCTACAAAAGGTTGAAGAAACCCCAAGAAGATTCCCGTGGAATGGCAATATAGAAAAAAAAAAAGACCCTTTCGGAAATGTAAATGTGACGTCCTTAGGGTTAACACACCATGCGATTATAGATATCACTATGGTAAAAACCCTGGTAGTCATTGCTCTCTTACTACCATCGTTGTTATCTATAGTTTTAATCATAGTCAGTTGTCAGTAGCAAAAACCAGCAGATCCATACAGCTTCCAGTCAATTCTGTGACTAAAGTTTAATATTGTGCCACAAACAGTGAGAAATAGTGGCGATAAAGATAGACAAATTAATACAACGAATAAAATAAACCATTATAACACTTTAGCAGAAATGTTCGACCTACTGCTATTACAATAATGGAATAACCCATGAAATTAACATAGCAGAACTCAAAACAAGTGCCTTAAATAGAAATTTGGCATCTGCAATTGCAAGTTCAAAAATAGATATGATAATAACGGTGAATTTAGGCAGCAAAAGTACTATATAATAATTTACAACAAGCAGTCTTTCAAATCATCTGTTTGAAAATTCAAACATATTTCACAACAACAAGTACAACAACACGGACAAATCTTTAGGTTACAAATTGACTAATAAAATTATCAATTAAAGATATACTTTTGAGAAAAATAATTACTACGAACAGACCTATTTGATAATCAATCAGTATTAAATTATATTGATCTAAAACGAGCAAAAACGACAAAAATTAATATAAAACAAGGAATCATGATTACGGATTATTTAATTTTGATTTGATAACCTTTATTTGTCTCATGGAACAATGATGAAAAGGGCATTATTCAGATAGATCAATCATTCCTACCTTATGAGCAATAAGCTAACTAGAAAAAATAATAATCACATAAATTCATTTTCCAGCCCAAAAAGATAATTTTCTTAGTCTTTATTGCGGAATTAAAAAAATAAAGTTTCTGCATATTTTGAGGGCATTGATGAGCTAAATACTTATATAGGAGAAGGAACATGATAAATCACGACAGCATATGATAAATTATTTCTTTCACTCAAAATGTATCGAACGGTAATTAACTGAACGAGGTCTCGTGGACTGCATATTTACCATGACCTTGTATCCTAATACATCTAAAGTTGTAAAGGACATAGTTTTTACTTGTCACTCTGTTACTTGTGTTATTAACCGCAACCAGAATAAAGGCTAAGTTTATGTGCCAACGGTGAATAAAAATCTGAGCTAGTTGCGGAATCCAGGTGTATGGAACCTCATCTGCCCAATGGCTTAAATAATATCACCTCCCTATCTACATTCCAACAGTTCAATGGTGACACAACAATCTTTTTTCAGTAACAATGAATCGGTCCAGTACCACTTTTCTTATCATTAATCAATATAAGGTGCTCAGAGACTGGGAAAAAAATAAACCAATTCCCCAGTCCTCGGCTCCTAGTGTAATTTCTTACTTCATGAATTCCTGGATTTCGCCAACTTACTCTTACCATTGGAAATTAAGAAGCTCATGACATCCATATAAAAATCACGATTATTATTCATAATTCATAAACCATTTTGCAACACCTTCTTTGATTATTGGCCGACATCACCTTACAATTATTAAATGCGATACTTAAATTCCCAGAGCTCGCGAGGCCAATTGAGGGGGGGGGGGGAGGGTCACCTACTGTAGGCTCGTTGTTCGTGGTGCCTATCCAGCCACGCCGATTTCGTGTCTGTCGCCAACTCGCGCGCGAGACAAGCTCCACGCGCGCCACTTACGCCCACGGACGAGCACCGCCTGCCAGTCACGTACGTCGCTCCAGTTCGTGCGCGAAATTTTTCCCGCATGCCCGCGCTGTTCGCAGCCGCCTAAAAGCTCGGGTTGCCCCATGTTTCTCTCCTATAAATAGGGAAGGGGTGGAGATTTAGGTGTTGGGAAAAAATACTAAGTGGGTAAGTTCTTGAGTGAGTCGTAACTTGTAAGAAAGAAAAGAAAGGATGAGAAGAAGAGGTTGTGAATAAGTTTGGTAATTCTCCTCATAGTGAGAGAACTCCTCTCGTGGATGTAAAGGGCAGTTTATCGAACCCACGTAAATCTCGTGTTTGTATTTGTCTTATTTGAGTTTGCATAGCTTGTAGGTTCCAGTCGACCATTTCGAGTCTTAGAACTGAGAGAGGAAGAGTGTATATTTTACTTATGATGAAATAGTCTCCCTTCTATCTTGTTTCCTTTGAGAATAAGAATTTCACTATCTAGTCTCTAGTTTCCTTTGAGCAATAAGATAGAGAGGTTGACTTGTTTTTGGAAAACAAAAGCAGGCACTATCTCTCAGGTGATATCGCTTTCGCGGCGTGAGGGCGTGACCCTCGCGCCCAACAATTGGTATCAAGAGCTTTTATTCAGATGAACGTGGTTGAGCTACGTGATGCCGAGGTGGTGCTGGTTATGTGTGGTAAAAACACAAAGGTAAATTTGTTGAAATTCTGAGAGAAGCGGATTTACATAAACTACAAGCGATAATGCTCCTACAAGTAAACCAATTAAAGTTGAAAAGTACAGATTGAAAAATTAATGGGAAAATAGATTTTCCTATTGGAGATTAGATAAAAATTCGTTCGATTTTGCAGAAATTACTACAAAGTTTGTGCTTTAGCGGGAAAAGCACAAAAAAAGCACAAAGGCCTGTCGATGAGGATGGGAGACGGATCTGGAAGCCCGTGCGTCGATTATCCTTTGCCTTGAAAGGATGTAGCTTTCTGGTGACCGGGAAGGAAGATGCGGGCGTATGTTAAAGTAGAGAGGCACCTCATGACGAAGAGTCTAACGAACCCGATCTAATTTGAAATCCAAATTGTACAACTTGCAAGATGAGAAGCTGGCTCTGGACGACAGCGCGATGCGCCTACAGTAGGTGGGCCCCACCTCCTCCCCGCGTTTCACAATAAGCACCTTAGTTGGAAAGTGATGGGAAAGATGGACGTAGGTGAAAAGAATACAATATTTGTTAATTCAAATAAGGAGATGATCCTTAAAAGAGTTGAACCAAAGAAAAGGATTCGTGGAACATAAAAAAAATTTCCGATTAAAACATTGTACTCATTGCTCTCTTCACCATCGTTATAGTTGTTTTATCATAGTCATTGTAATAGCAAAAAACCAGCAGATCCATACAGCTTCCAGTCAATTCTGTGACTAAGTTTCAAATATTCGTGCACAAACATGAATATTGGCGATAAAGATGACAATATAAATCAAGAGAAACATACCATTAAACTTGCTGAATAGTTCAGAACTACTGCATATCAGTCTGAATACCCTGACATTACATGCAGAACTCGCACGTGCTTGGTAAGATGATCTGCAATAGCAAGTTCAAGTGGTGAATACCGGTGAATTAGGAGCAAGTACCCTTTATTTCAACAAGCATGTCTTCAATTCATCTTCTTGAAATTCAAAACACTACATTTCAACACAACAGAAACACAAACACGGACAATTCTTCTTACAAATTGCCTAATAAATTTCATTAGTTATTTTGAGAATACTTATTTCTAGAAAGACCTTTTGAATAGATAAATCAGTATTATTTTGATCTAACGAGAAACGCCTTAATATACACCAAAGAATCATGATTACGGATTATTATTTGATTTGATAACCTTTATTCGTCTCATGGAACAATGATGAAAAGGGACAATATTCAGATAGATCATATTCCTACTTAGTGAAGCAATAACCTACTAGAAATAACTATCCATAAATTCATTTTCCAGCAAAAATAATTTTTTAGTCTTTAATTGGGAATTAAAAAAATCAAAGTATCTGCATATTTCTGGGTTGAATGGCTAACTTAGAAGGAGAGACATGCATAATCACGACAGCAATATGATAATTATTCTTTCACTCAAGAGTTTAATCGAGGTAATTAACTAGAACGAGGTCTGTGGACTGCATTTTACCATGACCTTGTATCCTAATACATCTAAGTTTTGTAAGGAACATAGTTAATGTCACTCTGTTAACTTTGTTTTTAACCGCAACAAATAAAGGCTAAGTTTATGTGCCAACGGTGATAAAATAGTGCTAGTTGGATCCCAGGTGTATGGACCTCCATCTCCCAATGGCTTGAAATGGAGAGTATCCACCTCCCTATCTGCATTCCAACAGTTCAATGGTGACAAACAATTTTTTTAGTAACAATGAACTCGTGTCCAAGTACCACTTCTTATAAATTATCAAATATAAGGTGCTCAGGACTGGGAAAAAAATAACCAAGTGCTAATTTTTACTTCATGAATTCTGGATTTCGACAAATACTTTCACCATTGAAATTAAGAAAAGCTCATGACATCCCATATAAAATCACATTATTATTCATATTCATAACCATTTGCAACACATTTCTTTGATATTGGCGACATCCTTAACAATTATTAAAATGCAGATACTTAAATTCATTTCTTACAACGGCCATCGCAGCATTTGCCTCCGGTACCTCCATAATATATGCATGGTCCTTTGTCATCTGGGAAGGATTTGCAAGTGTCGACCTTATAGCAACCTTCGTACGAAGAAAAGTACTGGATACAGCATGGAGGTACGAAATTCTTATTCGAATCCATAACAAGAATATCTCGAATGTGGCTAGCTTTCCCGTAGCCTTCCATCGGAAAATGGCCACTTCCCATCTGAGATGTTGTATGAAATCCATTTACCTGCATGTCGCAGATACTTCCACCCCAACTAATATGAGCAGATTCTTCAAATCCTTCTATCAAGGCAAATGGCCAGTAACCAACTGGTTCACCTTCGTACAGGATCCACCATTTCCTTTGGACAGGATCCTGACAGATCAATTACAAAAATAAAAGATAACAGAAAAAGGAAAAGGAATGTTAGCATTATCAATTTGATCTGATGTATTGCTAGTATAGAAAATTTGATATACCTTATAGGTTACAAAATTGTAGTCAACCTGTTCTCCACCATAGGCTGAGACTTGGGGCATGACTGCACCGAGCATGACACTCTTTGACACATGGACAAACCCTGGACACCTCAAGTTGAAACACCCTACATCTTTAGTTCTATCCTGTACCAAATTACAATAATAAGCTAGTGACAGAAGAGCTAAGCATCCAGTTATTACCTTATACGTACATAAATGCATACGTACGTATGCATATACACATACAAACACACTTACATACATACACACACGCACGCAAGCATGCACTCGTGCACTCATGCACGCGCACGCACGCACGCACACACACGCACCCGCACGCACACACTCGCACACGCATGCGCGCACACACAGTTGTCGATCTTGGAAGAAAAAAGAATGATAACTTAAACTACAGAGGAATAAGAAGCACAGCAGAAGATATTATACCAGCCAGTTGACAAACAATCTAGGACTTAGATCCCCAAACAAGACTGGACTGACCTGAAATGGCATATCAATATTAATAATGTAACAAAGAGGAATAAGGAGAGTTGTTAACATATGCGACTTGAGATAAGTAGACCACAACTACAAGATACACCACAACCAACACCGAGAGGTTCTTTGGTCTATTATTAAAAAAGGAATACATTTGAAATATCGTGAAAATAAAACAAATTTGATTAGTAGCATGTCCTTATCCATACTTTCACTGGAGATTCACACGTATTTAGTAGTACTGTCCAATTCAATGTCTGAAATAACATCTAAAGGAGAAACCAAGATCCTATCCCAAATATAAAAATGGTTTGGAATTGTCAGAGTTCTTGAATATTCATACACATCTTCATTTTTCTTGAATAATATTATATAATCACTCTATGAAAATGCTGAAATCATAGGTTACAAGTTCAAGCATCCTATCCTAATTGTCTGAATCATATCATAGGTTGGGATGTCATATCGACCTTCATTGATTTTCTTTTTGTGGGGATGAGTTTGACTGTATTACTATGCATGTGATTGTTACCTTGTAGATGGTTTTTTTCCTTCTCTAAATGTACTGCCGATAACTACATGAGAGGACTTTGTAGTCTTATTGTATTCACTTCAATGGAAACTGATGGCATATTCCACTTTCCCTTTTAGAAATGGACTGAAAATGAAATTGACTACAGAAGAAGAAAAACTAACTTACCGCCCATCCAGCTTCGATAAAGGAGTAATGCGGATCGTACGTAGAGATCGAGTTCAAGCTCCATTCACTTGCCTCAACATGTAGATTCCACACATTGAATGTAGCTTGGGCTCCAAAATAGGGTCCACCATTATAAACATCTACCCGAGCCATCTAATAATCCATGCATAAAATTTTATAGCAATTGGCCAAAATGCAGTAAAATAGCATCAATTCTCTAAATAGTGCCTGCACTATAAATTATCATTCACCTCTACTTTGCACTCTGAAAACTCTCCGTTCGGGCCAAACTTTTTTTGATCTATCCTCATAGGGTATGTTTCTCGAATCCTTTGGATAGGAATAGTTCCTTCAGGGCAGCTTTCCTTCTTTTGCCAAGTTTGTTGTGGCAAAAATCTGCGTGAATTGCTCCCTTCCTTTATTGCTGGGATGAAACTAGGCCTCATCTATTGTGCAAATATATAATGAGCACCAAGAAACTTATTAATACTCCAACAATAGAGAAGGGAAGTTTTGAATGGAGGAAGAACCTCGATGGTGTGATCTCCGAGCAGTGGATGATCAAAGGCAGGTTGCTTGTAGATATCAACACAATCAATAATGTCACCATCTTCACTCTGCAAAACATCACAAAGAACACCTTCTCATGCCTAATTACATTATTATAAAAAGAAATATGATAAGAACCAAGTACTGAGTTAAGCAACAACCATTATGGTCTTCACCGCTAGCCTACTGTGATTGTCCAGCTGCTCTATCACCTTATCTGTGAGAGAGCTGGGCTTTGCTCCCTCGGCACCAACCGATACTAATAAAATGGCCATCAGTATTTCAAGCAAGCTCTTTCTACAGAAAAGTGGGTAAAATCCTCGCTTGGACTTTAAACTCATTGCAAGCTACGAAGATTCGCTTTCCTGGTATAGATATTAAAATCATGAAGACTGGTGTATGCAACAGAAAGAATCCTACTAAACAGCTAAATATTAATCATTCACGAGACAGCATATGATGGAAAGTCGCATACCTTAACCACCTACAAAGTTTACTTTTTATAATGTAAATTGCCTATAAATGTTTGATATTAGAAAAAATACACAATGGTTATAAATGCATTCGAAATAAAATAAGGAGCAGCCTTAATGGAACAAGATGTAGTAGAGTAACTAAAGGAGAAGGGGAAAAAACGAATCACTACCTGTGCTTTAAAAAAAATCAAGGGAAGGGGAAGTAAAGCTTTACCTAGAGAAAGTAGGCAGTCACCAGATTTTATAGAAAGCATTGACACAATTAGTAAATGCAAATAGTTAATGTCTTCTAATCCAAATGCAGTACAGACAAGAACAATAATCATACATCATGAAAGTCAATGCAGCGACTCAATGTTTGAGAAGAAGTTCTCTATGAAGATAATGTCTAATATCTTCATAGTTAATGCACAGTTACCATAGTAAGCAGGTAAAGCTAACTTAGTTAATGTCTTCATAATTAATATTTACTAAGAAAAAGCATCAAATTAGTAGCTGGTAATAATTAGCCAGTGCAAGAAGCTCTCAGGAAAAAAAGTATTGATAACTGTACTTTATACTATTTTTATACTTCCACAAACAAAGAGTAGGGTCCATAACGACTCACAATTTTTCTTTACAATTTCCAAGAAAGAACCCCACACATCTGGTAGTAGTAGTACAAGAGTAGTATGGAACTTGTACTACAATTATCATTTTCCCTCAGGAAAACTTGGTCAGGGTCAAGGATAACATATGTAGTCAGACATTTATTCTGAATACATAGAATCAAATATTAAAGAGCAATTTTAGCAAGTGGCTAAAGTGACTAATAGGCCACAAAAGTGGATTATAATCCACCTTGAGATGTTTGGCAAGTGGCTTATTTCGGTTTATAACCCACCAAAAAATAAGTCGGGCTATCCCCAGCTTATTTTTTGGTGGATTATAGGTCATAATGTTTGACTGTGTAAATGACAGACATTCCCCTCATCATTTCACAAAATTTCATGCCTCATATATAGCCATCATTCATAGCAATGTCCTTTTTAGTCCTTCTGACAACAATGATGGATTATAATCCACCCATTTGTCAAATAGTCTAGTAATGAAAATGGATTATAATCCACTAAACCTACCAAATGCTGTAGGTCAAAATCTACGTGGTGGATTATAATCCATTTGTATAGATTATATAATCCAAGTGGATTACAATCCAAAGTTGCCAAACACGCTGAAAGTAAGAAGGTGTAGAGTGGCTAAGAGGGATAGCACTGGTGTAGAGTGTCTAAGGTGAAAATAGCAAAGAAGAATGGAAGTAATTAAAAGGTGGAAATGAAGTTATAATCTCTGAAACGTCTTCGTTGGGCATCTGAGACAACGAGGAGAAGACCACATTTAGCAGTAATGATTTTAGACGAAGTCCACAAATTTTGCAAATAGCAGAGAGTCATCCACATTCGTCAAGAAGCAGCAGGAAGAAGTAAAGGTCTGGTTAAGTATCAGGAAAAAAATTGGTTGTAGTACACTATAAAAAAAAAAGGAGTTGTAACATACAGCTGAGAAATTTTAGAATATTTGGTTTCTAGTCATGGCTAACCTACAGATGTCCTTCAGAGACCAGAATTATGGCTTAAGAAGTGAAGAAATGCCCAGAAAAGCGAGATCTGGCTTCCGAGCGAGAACGAGAAAGAGGCAGATGATCGGTCTGCTTCGCTACGTACGTTGATCTTGATTTGGCAGATTCATCCAATTGAACCACCACCGGACTGTTGCATACATAGCTAGTGGATATAACTTTATTTCCTGACCAGAACAATACCTATCAAAGTGTCGTACTCCATACTCTGCTACCAATTGCTTCCAAAATCACGATAATCACGCAGCTTCTGTTTCATGAAAAAGATGAACGTATTTTTTATCTGAAAGTTTCTCTCAAAAAAATTGATATAAAAAATGTTAAGATTCTATTACCAGCATCAACAATGTGGAAGACAAAACTCCACCCAAATATAACTGTTAATTTGCAAAATAAATTCATTTCATATTACATAAAATGACTTATTAGAGAAATTTATTAGACCATGATGGCTAAAAGGGTATTCCTTTGTTCCCCTAATTCAAGAATCTATGATCAAAGAGCTACAGTTCATCAAGCGCTTCACTAAATTATGCAGATAAATCCGCAAGAATTACGTGTTTCCTTTCCTGAAATTCTATTATAATTCTAGTATCAACCACAACAACGCTAGCAGGTTATGGGATAAATTCATTTAGAATCACATCAAAATTGATACGTATTCATCATCTCAAAACCTTAAGTAATGGCGTCGCAAGAATTCGGTAGCTATTATTTACTTTGGTTAATCTAGAAATAATTGAATTAATGGGCTAACATATAAGCGAGGAAAAATTATAGAAAACCTTAATTAATTAGAAAGGAATTTGAGAGTAAACCTGCTGCGACCATGGCGTAGGAAAATGAGAACCCTTTTCAAAATAATAATAATAATAATTTCGAATAAGTTTAAGGAGCTCTTCTGATGTCTCTCTGAAATATTTTCCCTCGTACTTTTCGCTTTTTGGCTTGACATGGGGATTTCATTGTATGATTCATTGATTTATATTTAAAATTAGCCTCCTAAATTATTGAGATAGCCATAAGCTCCCTCGGTTCTGGAAAATTCTTAAATTATTCAAATTGCTATTACGTGTTTCGTTGCTTCAAAATAATATCTCTGATCCAATGAAGAATACACGGAGTAGCAAGATATATATATATATGAGGCTGGGGGACTTAGAGCATCTCCAACAGCTTCCTCATTTCCCACTTTTGAAGAATTTAGTTAGGTTTTTGGCCCAACAGATTTCCCATCTTATTCCCCAAAATAGGGATGGGGGAGAAAAAATGGGGAAGTTTCCCTAAATCTACAGCATTCTCCAAATTTTTAGAGGAAAAAATAAATTCTTCAAAATGGGAAAGCTGTTGGAGTTGGTGTAAAAATTAGTTGAAGAATATGACTTTTGTTTTCCCATTTTGGAGAAGCTGTTGGAGATGCCCTTACTATAACTTTCAATGGGTGAAATTACTATATTGGTATTAGACGTTATTGGTGTGTTTGGGAGATGATTTTTCCCCTTATTTCCCTTCCTCTTCTTTAACCCACAATTTAGGGGGTAAGATTTTAGTTCAAATTTCCCCCTCATTCCCCTCCTCTATCCTTCTAAATGGATCTCCCAAACAAAAGTAAACCAAAATTTCTCTTCCCCTTTTCTTCTCTACCCTCCATCCCTTCCCTTCTCTACCCTCCATCCAAAAGGCTATATAGCCAATTTGTATTTTACTTCGCCCCGACAGACGTTAAAAGTGGACATCAGTAATATTTATGTACCAAAGTTCGCGCCATCCAAAGTTTGGCCCCAACCTGCCAGGCAACTCGTCACATAATGAAAAGCTCTTTCTCCTCCTCCTTTCTTCTCTCTTTCTCTCATCTCCTTCATCCTCTCTTAGTTGTAGCTGAATTTGTAACTTGAGCTCCAACAATGGAGCTCAACCTTCACTTTTAGGCTATACTAACCCCTCCAAATTGCTAATGGATGAACGATAGATTCGTACTCTTGCTCTCAATGGCCAAAATTTCTAAATCAGCACTTGATTAGGTTGTTAGATTATAACCAAGAAATGATTCAATAGTAAAATGAAAGTTTGAGATATGTTTGTTGTACGCAGCGGGTGCTCGAAAGCCAAATAGTGTACGAATAAGAACGAAATAGATCATAACCAATACAAGCACAAATCACAACCACAGCAAGAACAAACAAGTTTTACGTGTTTCGGGGAGTTGTCTACGTCCACGGGGCAAGGAGGGGGGGAGTTCTTATAATTAGAAATCAAGAGAATACAAATAGGGTTACAAATCTCATCAATAAATCCTTAAACAAATCTTTCTAGATCTCTCACAAATTCTCCCGCAAAGAGTGCACAATACTCTCTTAAAAGCTGCTTAAAACGTCCTTACATCACCCTAAAAAACGTGTTTAGGGTTATATATGAACTCATAATAAAACGGATCAGAAAACAGAATCAGGCCCAAACCCGCTACGCTGTCGACCGCCAACCACTAAAAGTCCAGAGACCAAATCGCCTATAGGGTTTTAGCGCGGTCCACCGCAGAACCCATCGCGATCGACCGCCAAAAATCCAGAGACCAACCCTGTCAAGTGCACGTTTGCGGAGACCGCCGCGTCATGTGCGGTCGACTGTGAAGCTTCCAAAATGCCTCCTGCTTGTTTTCTTCTGAACTTCGTCGTCGTTTCTACAATTCTTCACCTCGGCAAATGATTTACCAAAAAACTGAGCCGACACCAATACCAACCAAACGTCCCACTTGTTGCGTCCAGGACGAAGTAGAATCAACCTACAATAACGGACTCAATCCACAACAAGTCGGGAACCCAAACGAAAGCTAAAATAATCTCCCCCCATCAATATCAACTAATCCAACTGGCTGCATCAAAAAAACTACGTACGTATCCTTTTGCCCAATGAATCAAGCCGAACGTAGTTTACCCAAATGGCCTTCAAAGGCCCTCAACATTGAAGAATATTCAATAGCTTCAAACAATAACTAAATATCATACCTGAAATAACTTTGGTCAACATATCCGCAGGGTTATCCTTCGTGTGGATCTTCTCTAATATGACGTCTCCATCATCTAAAACATCACGAACAAAGTAGAATCTGACATCAATATACTTCATGCGTGCATGATAAACCTGGTTATTTGCCAAATAGATAGCCGACATGCTATCACAATATACCCGAAGGGTCTCCTGTGCAATCCCTAAGTCCTCTAACAATCCATGCAACCACAAAGTCTCTTTCACAGCTTCACATCTCTAACATACCGGTGCTCCTGTTAATGTAAACACATCTTCTGAAATAGATCAGTGCTTGTCAAGATCCCCAGCATAATCTGAATCCACATAACCAATGCAATCCTGCTCATTCCTCTCATTCTTCTGAAAAATCAAACCAACATTCATGGTGCCTTTAACATACCGTAGAATCCACTTTACGGCCTCCCAATAACCCTTATCGGGGTCGTGCATATACCTCGATACCATGCTCACGGCATGTGATAAATCTGGTCTCGTACATACCATAGCATACATTAAGCTACTCACCGCACTAGCATATAAAACCTTCGACATGTAATCTCTGTCTTCAACTGAAACAGGTAACATATTAGCTGAAAGCTTGAAGTGGGGAGCTAATGGAGTGCTAACTGCTTTTGCATTACCATCAAAGCTGAATTTCTTTAACATTTTCTGCAAGTAACTCCTCTGTGTAAGCTTCAAACTACCCTTCACCATGTCTCTCTCGATCTATATAACCAATATCTTCTTAGCTTCTCCAAAATCCTTCATCTCAAACTCGGATGACAGCTCCTCTTTTAACTTTTGAATAGCCGAAGAATTCCTGAAAGCAATAAGCATAACATCAACATATAATAACAAATATATGTACTCACCATCCTGTAGTTTGTGCATGTAAACACATGGGTCATATGGGCTCATCGTGTATTCATGGCCAATCATGAAGCTATCAAATCTCTTGTACCACTGTCGTGGCGATTGCTTCAAACCATAAAGAGACTTCTTCAGCTTGCACACTAAATCCTCCTTTTCTGCAGCTTTAAATCCCAATGGTTGTGTCATGTAGATTTGCTCATCTAAATCTTCGTGTAGAAAGGTTGTATTAACATCCATATGCACCAAATCTAAATCCGTTGCGCTACCAATGCTAATAAAATCTGAATCGACGAATGCTTCACAATGGGTGAAAATACCTCATTGTAATCAACGCCCTCAAGCTGTGCATATCCCTTGGTAACCAATCTGGCTTTGAACCTAATGTCCCGATAGAAGGTCCCTCTTTCTCGCATATACACACTTGTAACTAATAGCTTTCTTACCCTTAGGTAGCTTTGTAAGTTCCCAGTGTCGTTCTTCTAAAGAGAATGCATCTCCTCTTCCATAATTTCCCTCCACCTGATCGAATCAGAGCTAGATTCTATCTCCCTGAATGTAGAAGAAACCATATTATCAACG